CCGTCTCGCCTATAGGGGAAAGAAGCACATATTACTGGCAATGTTCATAAGTGTCTTCAATTGGGCACTAGACAAATATTTGTGTCAGGCAGTGTTGCCATAATAGCTTTTTTGTAGCTATTTTTATACATATGTGTCTACCATATTGAAAGTATTGAAAAATCAGGAAACTCTAGATGAGCTATTCGCTAGAAATCTATGACAATACAAATTCTAAATTTTAGCAATTAATGTTAATCCAAATCTACTTTCATTATTCATAGATATATTGTAAGTGCTGCAAATCTTTAGCTTTTTCTGCCAATATACATAGCTTTTTACGCCCTTCAAATGCTGACAGCACTGGCGTCAGGGTGAAATTGTAGAAAGCAAATTGATGAAAATCGATTGCTAAACACTTTGCATATTAATCTGCTCCGGCTAGCTCACGCCGTATTCAATTGTTTACACATATATGCGAAAGTACATGAATGTAGTGTAGATATGCATGTACATGTGTGAGTGAGTCATATAGTGCTGGCGTGCCTAAGAATCTGTGTGCAATGTACTCATTACAACTCCATACATTTTTCTTCGTTGAATCATTGCACATACATACGCACACTTAGGCAATGCCGCATACACATACTCACACCCACACACACACATGTGTAAAAGCATATTTGTATATACACACCTATGCACATAACGTTGAAAACGAATCCGTTTTGCACGCTTTTATTGACCAGTTGATCAGGCAAACTGTCAAATCCAACATGTCCACACTGCTTTAGCGTGCGTAGATGCACTTCCTTTTTATTTATAAAATCTACCTCAGCCGACATTTTACAATAATTTACACAAAAAACACGCACAGAGTAGAGCTCGCAAAGGCGTCGCCAGCGAGTAATATTTGTTGATAGTAAATCGTTATCGATACACAGGCGACAAAGACCAATTATCGAGTGACTATTTTACTGCGATCCGTCCACACTGCATGCTTGACAGTCTAGCAGTGGCAACACTCGATATTATTATTGCTGATGTGTCCAGCTGTCAAAGTTGCTAGCGAGGCGAAAGTTCGGTGTCAAAACTTTTCTCGTTGATTATTATTATTATGTCGAAAGATGCAAATCCCAAGGAGGCGCTTATCAAAGCGGCCTATGCTGATGTTCATAAGTTCGGCACCAATCAGGAGTTTGACAAGGCGGTAAAAGCCGTTAATCGCAGTAAGTTTCAAGAAATGTGCCAAAACTACCAAATTTCAACAATCACAATTTTTTCCCAGTTCTGGGCGTTGCACCCGATGACCAAACGGCCCTACACTGCAAAGTTGTCTGCCTGATGCAGCTGTCTAAGTTCGATGAGGCGAACAAGTTTATCGAGAAAAATCGTCTCAGCACTGTACTGATCTTTGAGAAGGCTTACTGTGAGTACCGCTTAAACAAGCAGGTGCAGGCACTTAAAACCATTGACGATGCTGGCGTGCAGCCGCTGCCAGCTAAGCTGAAGGAGCTGCGTACACAAATACTATATCGCCTGGAACGCTACGAGGACTGTCTAGATGCATACAAGGAGATTATCAAGAACAGTAGTGACGAGTACGAGGACGAGCGTCGCACCAATCTCAGTGCAGTAGCAGCGAATTTGGCCTTGGATAAGGAAAAGGATGTACTGGAAGTGCCAGAGGACACTTACGAGCAGTACTTCAACAGCGCTTGCATTCTGTCCAATCGCCAGAAATTTGTGGAGGCCGAGCGCAAACTGCGCACCAGTGAAAAACTGTGCCGCGAGTTTCTCGAAGAGGAAGGTGCCAGCGATGAGGAAATTCTCGAAGAGCTGGACGTCATCCGAGTTCAGCTCGCCTACTGTCTGCAACAGCAGGGTAAGATCAAGGAGGCGAGCGTCATTTACGCTGAGTGTTTGCGCCATAAGCCCAAGGACGCTGCTCTTGTGGCCGTTGCCAGTAACAATTCGGTGGTTATCAACAAGGATCAGAATGTCTTTGATTCTAAGAAGAAAATACGCGCTGCCATGGCAGAGGCTTGTGAACCAAAGCTAACTTCACGTCAGAAGCAGACAATAGCGCTTAACAATTGTCTTTTGGCATTGTATACAAATGCCGGCGATCAGGTGCCACAGCTAACCCAGAAGCTCACCCAAAGCTATCCACAAGTGGAGTTTGAGGCACTGCTCATACGCTGCAGCCAACTGGCTAATGACAAGAAGCACAAGGAAGCCATCGAGCAGCTGAACAAGTTTGCCAGTGCACACAAGACACACGAGTTCATCAGCAAATTTGCTATTATTCAGCTGCACTTGCTACAGGTCAGTGGTGGCTATCCTTTTCTTATTATTTTCATAAACCTAATTCCATAATTTTTCAGGGAAATCGTAAGGATGCCATCGAAACACTGCTCTCGCTGGGTGAGGCCAAATACAAGCCTGGCATTGTCTCGGCACTGGTGTCGCTCTATTTGGGCACAGACAATAAGCCGGCCGCGTCGGCACTACTCAAGTCCGCCGTTGACTGGTACAAGCAGAATAATGTTAGCAGCGGTGATTTGTCGGACATGTGGCGTCAGGCAGCCGAATTTCATTTGCGTGGTGGCGCCTCTGAGACCGCGGCCAGCTCGTTAGAAGAGCTGCTCAAGCTAAAACCAAACGATATGAAGGTTTTAGCTCAGCTAGTTATTGCTTATGCACAGTTTAATCCTAAGCGCGCGCTTGAGATAAGCCGCAAGTTGCCCAAGCTGGAAACTCTTACCACGGCCTCCGAAATCGATGCCCTCGAAGCGGCTAATTGGGTGATGTCTACGAAGGCAGCCAAAAAAACAGCCAACGCCAAAGTTGAGCCATCGCCTAGCACACCCGCAACAGAAAAGAAGAAGAGCGGCAATCGCAAGCGAAAAGGCAAGCTGCCCAAGAATTACAATGCCGAGGTGGCACCCGATCCCGAGCGCTGGCTTCCCAAGTATGAACGAACCGGCTTTCGTAAGAAGCGCGGCGGTGCGCGCGCCAAGGATATTATCAAAGGCTCACAGGGCATGGCTTCTGGCGCAGCTGACCAATAGTAAGTGATCGTTTGCTTCTACATAAGCTAAGTATTAACTTATTTTTTCCTATTTCAGCGACATGTCTAATCGTGTCAATCTGAACAAGAACTCGCCTGCGACGCCCGTCTACCAGGAACCCGCACCCGGTCCAAGACAGCAGCATCGCAAAGGTGGTCACAAGAAGAAGAAGGGCGGACGCTTCTAAGCTGTAGCCAAACAAATGCTTTTAAACTGTATCAACTTTACAAAATTACAACTGGTTTTGAATTGTCAACTTATACATAAATAGTTTTGCTATTCCTCCCCATCATCATCCTCATTGTTCTTCTTCTGCTTGCCGGTAGCCTCAGGCAGAGGCTCGTCCCGCCTCGTGTCGTACGAGTGAAAATGCAAAGTACTCAGCCAGTCAAGCATGTTGCGCTGCTCGGCCTCCGTTTTGTATATGTTGGCGTAGATGTGCTGCTCTATAAACTGGCTAACTTGCTCCTCCTGCGACGCCCATGTCAATGGATTATGTATGCCATCCTTGCCATAGCGGTCGTTGTAGCGCTCGTAGTGCACGGTGTCCAGCACAAGGCCCAAGCCCGGTGCCATAGGCAAGTCCAGACGCTCCTCGGTTAACGCGCGTTCCAATGACGCAGTTGTGGTATTGCCACGAACTATGGCAATGGCCAGGCCGACCATTTTACGTATCTGGTGTAACATGAAGCTTTGACCCTTCACCTGCAGCGTTACGAACTCAACGCCCTGTGGACTTAGGAATGGTGCGCTGCATGTGAAGGACATGATAAAACGCTTGGCGGATGGATCCAGAAAGTTCCTTAAAGGCAAGAATATTAATTATGATAGACAATAGCTGGAGACGAATGACTTACTTTTTGCTCGTAAAGTTGTGAAAGTTTTTTGTGCCCTCATAAAGCTTTAATGTGGCGTTAACCAGTTCCTGAAGCTCAATCGGTATGCGATACGTTTCCTGCTCGTGCTGCTCATCAAAGGCGGCAAATGCTATAGTTGGCAGAGTATACGTATATGTGCGTGCATTACACTGATCCTTGGCATTAAAGCCTTTAGTAACACGCTCCACACCAAACAGGCGTATCTGTTCGGGCAAATCTGCGTTAAATGCTTGAAGATCCAGTTCCTCGGCTGAAAAGTAATGCATTAGTGATGGTTAACTGAATAGTTAAATTACTTACGCAACTTAACGGAGCACACCTGTCGCGCAGCCGAGACACCTTTGTCTGTGCGTGCGGCACGCTGAAAGCTGGCAATTTGCACCTGCTCAAAAGAGTCCTCTGTAATCCATTTGTGTTTCAACATTGCCTTAAACAGCTCCTCCTCGATGGTCTGCATGCCAGGATTGCGTTGCATGCCATAGTAGTTGGCGCCACAGTAGCTCAACAAAATGGCACTCTTCTTACGCTTGATGCGATCCGCGGGATCGAATGGAGCTCGCTTTGTTCCATTCGTAGCATCTTCCTCGTCTTGTGCCTTCCAGTCCACCCATTTCTTTCGTTTAAGAGTACGCTTTAAGCGATTGGCTTCTTTAACGGACTCATCTTCAGCCTCTTTGGTGACTTTCCTTGCCTCCCGCTCTTGCTCCAGTTTGTCGAGTGCTTCAGTCATGGCAACAGCAAATGATTTATGACGCGTACACAAAGCGAACCGGCTAATTTCTGTTCGAAGCAGCGTTTTCAGGCAAACTGTGGAATAAATAAGTTTATTTGTTGCTGGCTATTTTGACAGTGTATTAAAAATTCACCTGCCTTTGGGAAGCGGCCTAATATATGACTTAACAGCATTTATTTAATTTAAAAAGGTGAAATACCAACAAATACAACTTTACACGTGTGCCGTTCTCTTATGGTAATACAACACAGCTGCTGCATGATGGCTTGTAGTTCTTCACATACACACATATTTGATTACCAAAGCTGCCACAACCCTATCGAAATTTATATTTATTATCACAAATCGAAAAGGTGTTACACATAACATTAACATTTCAATTTTTATTAATTATGTTAAACTTTTTTCTCCTTACAGTTTTATGTAAAATGTGAGCAAATTAAATTACTTATACATCGGATGGACTGAACGTGTATTGCTACCCGTAACTAGAAAAAGTCTGGCAACGCTATTAAATCCAAAATGGCTACGCGAGTAGAAAATTTTTGTACAGAAGAAGCGTCCAAGGAGAGTAAACGCCGTGACCGTGTGTTTTCGTAAAAATTTATTGCCAATAAAATACAAATATTAATTTGAATAGCAAATAAACAATTGTGCTAGCCAAGCGCCAAACGCAAAAAAAAAACTAACACAGTGCAGTGCAATGTAGTGATAAACCTAATATAGAGTGTAATGTGAACATTTCAATGAAAGTTTTCACCTCCATGAGAATTTGTGCAAAAAGAGTAGAGAGAAAAATTTTGCAAAACGTTCGAAGTTGAAGGTGAAAATGAAAATGCATTAACAAACAAATAAAGCCACCATAAAATGCCAAGAACAACCAAATAAACGCCGTGTAAATCAAGAAACCTTTAAGTCCCATACGAAAGCGAAACTATTTATTGTGCACAAAGTGACTTGTTTGTGTATGCGTGTGCGTGACTGTGGTTGTGTGTGTGTGTGCAGGCAGCCAGTTTGGCGTTGTTTTTGTGTTGCTACTTCGCTTGCCGCTGTCGGGAATGAATGAATAATGAAATGGAATAGAAATCCTGAAATAACTAAAAATGTTCACCAAGGGCACCAGCTGCTGGTGAAGATAAAATTCTCGCGCTAAATTTAGCCTACGCCCACATTGACAACCCAAATCCGAATCCCCATTCCCACGCACACAATACAGCGTTCAGACAACGTTTGACATACTCAAAGAAAATAAAATGGATTTGGAATTGGAGAATCTGAAGAATGACTTTCTGCCGTTAATCGCCGGCATTAAGCAGGAGCAATTGGACTCGGTGGTAGCGGATGTGCTGCCACCAAATCATTTGCCTAGCACTGCGGCAACAACATCGACATCCTCGTCATCGTCATCATCTGTTGGCAATCCTTGCGATAGTGCCGAAAAGCGGGTAAGTTATCGACTTGTTATCGATCAGGTCTCACTTTCAATTTATCTAAGTGTTTGGTTGAGGTTAATAACTTTCGAGCAGGCTACACGTGCTCGTGCCGTCGCTGCATTGCGATAAGAAATTGTAATCTTTCTGCACTCTCGAATCTATTAAATCATCAGAATTACGATTGACACAGCTTATCACTTACATACATATGCTGCTTATCGTATAGTATACAAATATTCATTGTCTCGTGCAATTTCGTACGTTATCTTTTCCCATGCTATAACAACAAACAACTGTAACAGCAAACAAATGCTAAGGCACCCACACTAACAATGAGACACATACGCAGGCACGTATACCCTTGCATATGTATGCAAAAACACACAGACGCGGGCAGACGTTGCTGAAATTGTGTTTCACTTTCGTGTTCAAGTCTCGTGCTGTTTGTTGTTCGGTTTCTGGTTTTGCCGTTTCGGTGTGAAAGGCAAAGCAAATATGTAACTACAAAGCAGAGACAGCAACAACAACAACCGCTCACACACACTCATTTACTCTCTCACTCTTTGTACCGCAGAGTGCTCTCCATCAAGATCAGCTGCAGCGGCTGCGAATGACTCGTCTCTTTTAAGGTGTGTGTGTTTTGTGTTTGCTGTTTGCTGCGGTCTCGTCGCGCTTGAGCGCCACGAACGTGAGCTCCTCTAAATATTTAGATTCAGAAATACAAGTTCCGAGTGGCGCGGACACTTTGAGTGCCGTTGGAGTGGGAGACGAACCATCGTAACTCACACACACTTATACCATACACATAGGGCAACTCATGGCGGCTGCGAACGACGTGCACTCATTCAGTCCATCCGTCAATCATGCAAGTGCCGCTGCCGTACAACATACATACATATGTACATACATGTGCATATGTGATTGTAGGGGACCGTGTATAGCCTCGGTCTTCTGCTCTTGTTTCTCCCTCGGCCCGTTGCGTGGTCAGCAATAGTTAACCTTCGCCTTGCCCCCTTGCACTGCCTATCTCAGAAAATTAAAAATGTTTTAAAAAAATAATCATGCAACGAATTTAAGGAGCTTTAAGCGCTCAAAGTTTTTCAAGATGGCTGACAAATTCAAAATGGCGTTGCCAGCTGCTACATTAAGGTTTAAATAGATATACATACTTACACACAAATATAAAAACAACACGCTTATTCTTCAACTATCTCTTCGTCGTGAGGAACGTTTAATAGACAGCTATTAATGACATGAGACAGCTGTCAGATCTCATCGGAACTTAAGAACTCCCAGACATGCAGAAAGAAACAAGACCCACTGATAATAAGTGGCCACTTTCGACTTAAATACTATAATAAAATAAATAGTAGCTTATCACACTGACGTACAGGTGGATGATGGATTAACACAAATACATATGTATAAAAATATGTTAAATTGACAAATGGGTAATAAATTTACATTCTACTTTATGTAGTTCTTATTGATTTACGCTGTTTCCAATGGGAGTTAAAGAAATTACTATTTCGGAACCAATAATTTGTAATACTAAATAAAGTATAAGTGATAAACTATAATATTGTAAACACGCCCAAGATTTTTTCCTGTTTTAAGCTGTTATTACTTTGGCAACAGCTTCTAATTACAACTTCTTACCCATGTCCATAAAAATGACTTATACGTCATATTCCATCGAACATTTAGAGAAATAATACAAAAAAGCTTAAATAAGAAATAAAGGCGTTAAAAATTAAAATTCGTTCTGTGTAAGCCTTTTTAGTGTATATACTTTTAAAATTGAAAAAAAGTTAAGTACGTAATTATCGAAATGAGAGCTTAAATACCGTGTGGGACTACAGTTTTTTGCATTTTCCTAGGCCATCCTCGGCCAATGGTCACTTTTAATGACATTTTCAACTCTTGCGTGTGTGTGTGTGTGTGTAGTGCAGGTTGTAATTATTCGTTGAATCTGACACTATAATGAATGGGGCAGCTGCTGAGTTTCGGTGACGGGCGGCCATTTTGTTTATTGGAGTTACGTTGTTGTTGCTTTTGCTTTTTCGACGAAACATAAAATTAATTCCAAGAATTTGCTTTTAATGATGTGCAATTAACTATAATTTCACTAGAATATGCAAGCAAAGCAAAGTGCCGATGACCGAACTGAGGGACGCAGTACGAGCGGCCAGGCGGTTGGGTAAATGAGCGCTACCCAAAAGTTTCTAATTAACTTTATTGCGAGGCAATCTTAACGAAGAGATCTTTGGAAAAGCCGCTTTTCACTTTCAAGCGCTACCTGCGCCCCGCACCTGTCAGGCAATAGGCTGTATATATGTGTGTGCATGTATGTATCCAACAGATACACATTTTAATTGCTTTTCTGTTCAACTGGCACTGGGGCGTGGCTGGGGCCTTAATCCAGCCACAGAGCGAGCGTAATTAAAGTTGACTACGCGAACGGATCAGTTGAACTGAAAAGAGGGTGGCCTGCCGGTTCGCTTCGCTCCGGATAGGCTACACATGTCACCGGACGCCTGAATGTGGTGGGATTAGGCGCAACGCAGGACATAATCCGATCACATAAAGCGGATTATAATGCACAATAAAAAGGCAGGCAGCCAGACAGAGGCAGCACAAGTTGACGTAACTTTAAATTGAAGCGCATCTCATACTATGGCCTGGCCCAAAGATACGTATTTCAGAATCTGGGTAAAGTTTCATAAGCTGTGTGTATAAATCCTGAATGAGATGGCAAAAACGTAAGAGGTCTGCTAGACGTAAGCACAAATTCAAAGCTTAGGGCGTTTCATTCGACAGCTGAACCCCGCCCACCGTCTATACTGTACGCCTCCGACGGCATAAGCCGACTTGGAATTTTATTGCAACTGCATCACGTTTGAGACCCCTGCGGCTTTACTGTTTTGTATCTACATCAGTGCCACGCCGACGCCATTTTGGAAAATGTATCTGAGCAAGAGTGTGTGTTTGTGTCTGTCTCATGGACCGGGAGCACGAACAATTGCATCAGGCGCAGAAAGAACCGCAAACCGCAGCAGCAACAGCAGCCACGGCAGCAGCAGCGACGGCGGTTTTGGTAAGCTCCAGAGACCAGCGACCAGCTCTTTGAACCGTAAAAACCCACAATGTCCAATCCGTCGTCGTCGCTATCATTTGAGACAGGCACAGGCCACACGATATATCCCCTCAGAGACCCTGAACCCTGAACCCTAAAGCTGCGAACGTAGCCGCCCGCTTAATTAGTTTGTGGTTTCAGCTTCATTCCTGCAAGCTCTCGACATTAATATCCTCAATCGATTTGCAATATTCAATATACTGAAATTCAAAATTGACGCAAATAATGAAAGCATTTATAAAACACAGCAAAGCGTTGCGCTAATATGGAAATAATTTATATCTAAAATTAATATTGCACATGAAATTAAATTCGCATGTACTTTAACATATATTCATATTAATACCCTTTAAGAGGGTAGTTTCATTTTGTAAGGAAATATGTAATATATTCTTAACTCTTTATATGTAAACTAAGATCTCAATTCTTAAGATGTCGGCATGAAACTTTGCAAAGGTCCGTCCAGATTGAAAATTTAGTAAAAGTTATTGTAAACTAACAAATTTAGCTGCCTTTCGACAATCGGTGAAACTTTGAGTCATTGTATGAAAGCAACATTGGCTAAGTATAGAAATATATCGAACGTATATCGTGTGTCTGCAAGGGTATTAAATCGACAGGCCGAGTAGGCCTATTATTTCTTGTTCGCTTTGCGATTAAGAATTCCTTGATATAAAGAGGACAGTCTTAGTAGTTTTCCATTTGTTAACTGCCTACTATATTTCGTATATAGTCAGAAATAATAATTATATTGGCATTGACAGAACAATAAACAACTTAATGGATATTTCTGCAATGCGAAAGTAGACCCCATTTTTCTTAATGGGTCTCACATTGACGTAGCGATTGAACAATTTGCTCTATAAGTATGTTTCTTAATAAACCGCAACCAAAACCACTCAAAGCAATCAACTTCAATGGATTGGCATGGCATAACTCGCTGACTGACTGACTGCTTGATTCGCTGTCATTGTCGTTATGAATCATATTTTGAGGTCATCGGTGTCGTCTCCAACTTATCGTGTTCCTTGTATGTAGATATAGCCTACGCTATACAATAGATTCTTTAACAGAAATATAATTAAATATATGTATAAATGAGAAGTTCCTTTCGGTTTTTGGAGTTTGAGTTTCTTGGTTACCTTTATGGGCCCATCGATTTTCTGTATCCCTCGAAGCTCATAAAAACTTTCTTGGTTCTTTTGCATGCCATTTACGATTTCCATACAATTAAATCTTTACGACTGCGACGATGGGAAACGATGCGAATGAAGCGAATAGCAACACTTGTCGAAAAAAAAAAATCCGAAAGATACATTTCTATATATGTTGAAGAGGGGTCGGGCGGTAGGGCATACCAATTGAGCTCCACCCCGTTCGAGCATCGTCCTATGTTAATCCGCAATCAAATACAAACTCGTTCATTTTTATGGCATCATTTTTGTAACAAATTTTTTTTCTTTTTTTCTCTGGATAGCTTAAATTGCGTTATGAAATGTTATGTCAGGTCATTAGGGTTTGCCCATTAGGACGACCCCTCCACACACCCACACACACACCCTCTCTGTGCTCTAGCGGCGCAGCGGAAATTGCAGCGCCGCTGCCGGATATGTCAGCGATTTAAGTAAATGGCCCAGAAACCAAACTATAGTTTTATAGTATAGATATGCATTGCAGAGATATATTCTATTTGAAATTCGTTATTTGAAATGGGGATACATGCCCAATCTGATCAAGTATATCAAGTATATTTATTTTATGTGCTGTAAGGGGCGGCGGCACAAGATCGGTCGTAAATTTGTATAACCTAACGGCTGCATGGTAGAACAGACCGGTCGTTAATTTGAAATGTCTAAGGGTTGATCGCAGGTGTGTG